ATCTACACCTGGCTTGGTCAGACTCATGGGCACATAGCTTTTGAAAGCATAGAAAAGAACTTGCCCCCCACTTCCTGTCTTTCCAAGCTGGCACTTCCTGTCAGGGTCTCCATAGTGCCATGAAGTTACCTACTTCTCATGCCCTGCACCACAGGTCTCATCCTAGGAGGGGGTTAGGTTTAAAGTCGGCATATAAATTAAAGGCACTTACCATGTGACTACACAGCATGTGAAAGTGTTTTGTAAATGTACTACTACTTGCAGCTTCCAAGTTCACAGCTACCTTCCCAGACCTCCTCAGCCCAGTGAGAAATCGTCTCAAGAGCCTCAGATTTCCTAGCTCTGTCTTTGACTTTGTTCAGTAATTAATCTCTTTTAGAGATAATGTTCCTATATGTGTTTCATCATTTTTTCCTATTCTACTGTCATCTTACTTGGTATGACCTTACATCCAGGCTGAGATGCACCTAGATGAGGGTAGGGTCATGGCTCATGTGTCTCTTTATCACCAACTGTGCCTCCAGAGATGCTGGCAGAGATGCTCGAAAACATTTTAGTGATTTGCAGTGCTTTTAAAATATGTCTGCAAATTCTTTGACACCATCGAAAGTGGAGTGGAATTCCACCACCTTTGGATGTGGGCCAGCTTAGCAACTTGCATCTAATAAACAGAAGGCAGTGGAAGTGATGTAGCATATCTTCCAAGACAGGGTCACAAATGGTGATATAGCTTCTCCCTGGCACTCTCTCTCTCTCTTTTTAAATTTTATTTTATTGTGATAAGAACACAACATGAGATCTACCCTCTTAACAAAAGTTTAAGTGTACAGTGTAGTACTGTTGACCATAGCCTAGCTCTCTCTTAGAATGTAGACCCTGGGATGCTGAGCTGACATATAAGACAGCTGGCTACACTGAAGCCACCAAGCTGGAGGGGACACATGGAAACAGAAAGATGCCCAAGGAACTCCAACTGTGCTAGCCCCTGCTGTTTTAATCTTCCCAGGATTAATCCCCAGATATCGGAGTGAATGGCCTTCAGATGATTCTAACCCCAGCCTTCAAACTACCCCAGTTGACTTCCCAAAAGTCCCCATTGCCCAAATTCATAAGCAAAATAAATACTGAAATTTCAAGCCACTGAAGTTTGGGTGGTTCGTCATGCAGCATTAGATAACAGGAAGAGATTTGGATCCACAATCAAGGAGCTATGGAATACCCAACCAAAAATATTCCCCAGTTTGAACACATCCCCGAAGCTGCAGGGTGAATGGTTAAGGTCACTCTAATTGCACCATTTCACTTTGCTGGTTCCCTCCCTGAGCTTTAGAAAGAAGTGGTGCTACTTTGATGACAAAGACCATCCAGAAAATCACTGGGTTAACGTATTACTAACCTCCACGTTCCACATCTAGGAGAGTTTATATTTTTACTTTCCAACCTACACTGTTTTGCTAGATGTTTTCAACTAATGGTTTCAACGCTATTAATGATGAAATGTGGCTTTTTGCTAGGCAGAAGTGGAATATTTGTCCTTTACTCCTTACCAATTGAACTTCAGAGATAATCTCATTAAAGTCTTCTAAGAAATTCAGCACAGCAACCAGACTCATTTTTGTTTAAAATTATAGGTGCCCAAACGCAGAGGCCATTGTCCGCTTTGAGTCCCACTAGGATGGAAATGGCTTCCTGGACTGGGAAGTCTCTCCCATCAGCCCTGATATGCTCAGTGGATCCCTTTGCCTTCTTCTGGCTGCATTTCTTTCCTAGTTTGGTGTTTAAAAATCAACTTCTTTGACCTTCACAAACAACTTACCAGGAACTGAACAAAGACAACTTGAAAACGTAAACTAATGTCAGATGTTAGTTTGTTGAAAACATCCAGGAAAATTGGAATATTGCATTTTAACCAGTTGGCAGGTAGTCCATGATCGTGATGAATTTCTTACTCTGGTTGACACATTTTCAAATGTTAATGTCCTCTTGAGGAATAAACTTTGTTCTAATGATTGAAGTAATGGCTTCAAAGGTGAGCATTCCACTTATTATGGTTTCAAACCTTGGCACTGTGCACCGAGAGGTGTTAGGTTATGTGCTCGACAGAGAAATAATTACGACCACATAATGAAAAGGAAAAGGCTTTGAGAGAGGGATTATGGAGGGGACCTGGGTCATGGGGGAAAGAGACTCCATCAGCAGGATGAAACGGCCCTTAATCAAGTGCAACGTGATGTCAAAGACACAATATCAAGTTTCCTCGAAACTGTGCAATTCACACCCACAAGGGCTCCGGTTTGTGGATGCATTTTCTTCCTCTAACCTGAAACGGGAGAGAGTCCGAGAGATTTTTTTTCTATCAAAACTCAACTTTCTTTCCACTTAATGCTGAGTCAAAAAAGGCAGGAAACTCGAGAGTAACAGGGTGAGTTCCCAGTTTTTTCATCTCTCCAGGAGGAATGCAGGGCAGACAACCTCCTGGTGACCAAACACACTTCCAGCTGCAGGCCGACTGGTAGAATTCGAGAACAAATAAAGAGCAACTGTCAGCAACAGGAGAGAAGAATGGGAAATATTATCCGGAAAGGAATTATTGGTCTCCTATGGCACTGCTTCTTTCCTCGAAGCCATGGCCGATAAAAGCTTCTCATTCTCTTAAATCTATCCTGAGCTACCTTCCAAGGAAAACTTGCAAAGTGCTTCAGCACAGAAATTCCATCACACATGGAGTCCATGGTTAGCTGGACCTTTAATACTGAAGCCAATACAGAGACTCTCCTCACTTTTCCTGAGAGAAATATATTGTGAATCATATAGGTGCAAAAATTCAGCTGAGTGACACTAAGAAGGAAAGTGATGAAAAACAGGTTACCGCCCCCCCAACTTTGTCTTGTCCTGAGCAAAGGCAGCCCTCCAACAGGCAGTATGCCTCAGTCTTCTATGCTATGTGACAAATCACCACACCCATTTATTGGCTTCAAACCACACCCATTTATTATCTGACAGTTCCATGGGTCAGGAGCCTGGGCATGGCTTAGCTAGGTTCTCTGCACAGTATCTCACAAGGTTGCATTTTCATCTGGACCTCAGGGTTTCTGTCCAAGCTCACTGGTTGTTGGCAGAATTCAGCCCCCTGCATTTGTAGAACCGAGGCTCTCAGCTTCTAAAGACCCGCTAGTCCTGCTGCATGGCCCTCTGATAACATGGTAGTTTGCTTGTTCAAGGCTAAATGAATCTACTCAGGTTACCATAACAAAATACCACAGACTGGGTGGCTTAAACAACAGAAAGTTATTTTCTCACAGTGCTGGAGGTCTGAGATCAGGGTGCCAGCATGGTCGGGTTCTGGTGAGAGCTCTCCAGCTGGGCTGCAGACAGCCACCTCCTCACTGTGGGCTCACGTGACCTTTGCATATGCATGTGCTCAGGGTGGGGTGGGGGGAGGGAGAGAGACAGAGAGACAGAGAGAAAGCTCTCTGGTGCCTCTACTTATAAGGGCACTAATCTCATCATGAGGGCTCCACCCTTACAACCTCATCTAACCCTAATGACCTCCCAAAGACCCTAGCTCTAAAACCATCATATTAAGGGTCAAGGCTTCAACATACGACTGGGGAGAGGGGTGGGGCACAAGCATTCAGTCCATAACAAAGGCCAACAGGAGAGTATCTCTAACCTCTTCCACCTCTGACCTCCAGACCTCCTTTTAAAGTGTTCACCTGATTAGGTCAGGCCCACCCAGGATCATCTCCCCTTTGATAATGTAAAGTCAGCTGATTAAGGGCCTTAATTAAATCTACAAAACCCATTCACCTTTGTCATATGACATAAACTAACCACAGGAGTGAAATCTCATCATGTTCACACACTCAACTGGGGGCGGGGGAGAGGGATTATACAGGCTGTGTACTCCAGGAGGTGGGTATTTTGAGAGCCGTCTCAGAACTCTGCTTACCATTGACCCTGTGCTGCCCCTTCTCTCATAACTCTTTACCCCTCAGGGCCCTCATCTGTCACTCTCACTACCACATACACACATGCACGCACATTCACTACTTTTCACAGGTACCTACAAATTAGCTGCAGGCATTTGGCCATTACCAATGGCCTCTCCATGTCCTCCTTTCCTGTGCCCAGATCCATCTTGACCTAAAAGTGCTAACTGGGACTTCCCTGGTGGTCCAGTGGTTAAGACTCCACACTCCCAGTTCCAGGGGCCTGGGTTCAATCCCTGGTCAGGGAATTAGATCCCACATACCGCAACTAAAAGATCCACATGCCACAACTAAAGATCCCAAATGCCGCAACTAAAAGATCCCACACGTGGCAACGAAGATCCCACGTGCCACAACTAAGACCCGGCACAGCCAAATAAATAAACAGATACTTTTTAAAATGCTATAAAACATAAATAAATAAAAGGGCTACCCTATAGGAGCATAGAGGGAGACTCTGAGAAGGGAATTTTTTTCTTTTTACCAATTGACCTAAGTCTTTTCTCTAAAGACATTTATCAAGTATTATTAGTTACAGTGACAAGTAGCTCTGAGTTTTTAAAGGGCCTACCAAGAAGGTCTGAGATCGAGAAAAAACAAGTTCATCACCTCCAAAATATGAAACTCAGTATAATTTAATTAAATGCTTATAAAACATTTTATCAGAATAAAAAACATACTGTTATATGTAAATTTATTTAATGGGGATGTAAGAATATTATAATATGTTCGCTATGATGAAGCACGGGACTCCAAAAAGGATATCAAGGATTTGTGAAGGATGCAAACAACTTAGTGAGACCCGTTTACCCACTGGTACTAGAACGTTTAGGTGGTGTTAGAGAAGGAAAATGTCAAAATGACACTTACTCTACCATCCTTTCTACTTTTACGGTAGGTATTCTGGCCATCAAGCTTACTTGATTCTATTTCCTTGTGAATTAGAAAAAATAAAAAATAGACATTATTTTTATTTCACATATTGGGAAAGAATCATAAAGTACTTACCTAAGGCCACAGTAGAATTATGTCAAAGAACATGGTCTAGAGGACTTCCCTGGTGGTCCAGTGGTTAAGACTTCGCCTTCCAATGAAGGGGGCGCAGGTTTGATCCCTGGTCTGGGCGCTAAGATCCCACTTGCCTTGTGGCCAAAAAACCAAAGCCTAAAACAGAAGCAACATTGTAACAAATTCAATAAAGACTTTTAAAATGGTCCACATTAAAAAAAAAAAAAAAAAAGAACATGGGTCTACCCCTAAACTATAGAATCACAGATTCTGAGCTTTGAACCACTGACAGCCATCACCTGACAGATGCAGAGAAAATGTGATCCGCCCAGCACCACACTCACCAGCGAGATCCCAGTGGAGACAGGAATCAGGGCTGGCTGACTCCTCACCCAGAGGTCTTTCCAACACAATGTGCTTTTTCCTTTATCTCTTAATACTAGACTCATGTTCTTTCAGTCCATCATTGTTTCTCAGACTAGACCTCACACATATGCAGGGGGATTTTCAGTTTTAACTCCTTTCTTCCCAAGCCTCACCTGGAATTCTGAGAATAAACCATAAGAAGAATCCTTGTATCTTGGTACTAGGATACCTCTCAGGGATCATCTAATCCGTCCTCTTCTTCAGGCTGGATATCCCTTTCACAATATCCCTTCCATGAGGTCAACAGGCCTCTTCTTGAATACCTCCAGTGTTGGGGAGCTCACTACCAAAGACAAGGACAAGTCCATCCTGAGCAGCCTTAACTGCTAAGATGCTTGGTCTCCATCTAATTTCACATGTGGTCTTCCAGAGGTACATGGAAAAGTGTAAGTCATTTCAGAGGCCATGATGTCTCATACTTGAAGATGATTCACTTTCTTCAAATCACTTCTCCCAGAGTTTCTCAGTGTTGGTGTCATTAGCATTCGAGTGAGACTTCTTCCTCAAGTGGGCCTGTCCTGTGCATTGCAGGATACTTAGCACCACTAGTCCCCTGGGAACTAAATTCCAGTAGCTCACATACACTCACCATGAGACAACCTATTCACTGTGATCCCTCCCATATTTCCAAGAACCCTTGGGGAGGGCAAGGATACTGTCCCTGATTGAGAACCACTGTGAGTCTAGGTCAAGACCTCCCCCGAGCGCCCTCAACAATTGACTGTATTGCACACGGCACAGTTATAGAGTGCTTCACCGCCCATGGAAGTCTCAAAGTGGCCCATGATGGGAACTTTGTGTCACTATCCTCATGAACACAGGATGACAGGGAGGAAAGAGACAATTAATGCCAAGAATTTAACAGTGGCTAGAAGACAACCTTTTCTCTTTGCCATAGTAAGGAATCTTCCATCTTGCACCATTCCACGTGTTCCCCACTTAAAAGACACCTCCCTGGTCTGCTACAGTGATTGGGAACCATATGTTTTCAGTTAAGTAATTTTACTGAAACTAGAAATCTAGATCACCTTGCTTCCCGCCCAAACAGCCATCTCTCAATTATTCTGCCAACAGAAATGCCTTATAGTTCTTTAAAAATCTTTCACCTCTGGCCATTGTTTTCGTAGCTATTAACCAACTACGGTTGGACCTTTATGATTTTGATTTAAATTGCTTCAGTCAGAATGATTGTTAAGACAGAAAATAATTGAAATCCAAATTGCCCCTGAAATTGCTTTGAAATCAGAGCACAAACTGGCAAGAGCTCACGTGTCATCGAACGTTAGGCTACCACACAGACCCTCCAATATCTTGTTCACTCTTTCCCCAAATATTCTCGATTACACACATGACAGCTGCTGTATTTGGGGAAGCACCATGCAGTATGGTGGTAAAAGCATGGGCTTCTTGCTTTGAATCTTGGGTCTGCCACTTACTAGCTGTGTGACCACAGGCAAGTTTGTTAACTTCTCCGTGCCTCAGTTTCCGGTAAAATGGAGACAATGATACTTACTTCCCAAGGTTGTTGGAAGGATTTGTCAATGAAAATAAGCAATAAACAATCAAGAATAAGAAATAGAAAAGAGTTTTATTTGAGCCAAACTGAGGGCTAGCCTGGATGCCCACTGCCCAGATTACTCAGAGGAACTGTCCCAGAGAAGCATGGTTTCCAGCACAGTTTTATACCTTGTCAGAGCAAAGAACATTAAAGTCAGGGATACATTTCTTCAAGGTTTCAAAAAAAAAAAAAAAAAAGAACAGACCAGCATGTACATAGCAAGTCAGCATGGCCTTGCACCTGCGGAGGGCGTCTTATCGTTAAAGGAATACCAGCATTGGCGTCCCAGGAAGACAGGCATTTAATCTTTATTTTTAACATAGACATTCTTTATTTTTGGTCAGTGTGTGCTTTTCTCTAATAATTAAAGCACATGTACAATGTGTGTTTGATAGGCCATAAACAGGCTATTTTAGTTAGCGTAAAATTCAGGTTAATTCATGGATAAGCCAGAATGACTTCCCTATATCTCAATATGTGAAAATTTCTTTTGTCAGTTTGAGTGAGCTGAGAATGAGCAAGCAGGTCCTGTGAACACTCCACCAGAACCATCAGAGCATTCACACGGCTTCTTGGGTTTTTTTCCCTTCATCTTCTTTCTAACTCTCGTCAGAAAACTGTTTGAAGGCTACCAAGGCTGCTCTGTGGTGTGACACAAAAAGCCAGAAGCACCTGGGAGTTCACAGCCCCCAACACCACCATCACCCCACTGAGGTGGCCCTGGGCCCGCAGTGGACCGGGGTCAGTATATGAAAGCCCAGTTCCCTTGCCATCAGTGAGGACAAACTACACAATGTAACTTACACTCCAGAGCCCCCTACGCGATCAGGCTGAGACTAGGGCTTCACCTAAAATCACACCCCTGCTTGGTTTCTTCTCTTCCTCTGTCCTGCTTCGTCCATTCTCAGAGAAATCCTACATGAGTCTCCTGCATACAAATTCTCTTCTCTGGGCTTGAAAGTCCAACCTGAGACAGGCACTCACACATAATTCACAACTAGCAAGCATTTAATAAATGTTAGTCTTTATTACACTTGCCATTAACAGGCACTGTGAACTCAGTAACACTTTAATAATAAATTACATATATACAAGGCATTATGTCTTCATAATGTGTCTGGACACCCTGTTGTCATCTTAGCTCTCTGTGGTCACATTTGGGAAACATGGCTTTTAAAAAAAGCTCCCTTATTTCACTGAAAACAAAACCAAGAACAAGAGAGTCTGTGTGAATGGCCCCAGTCCCAGGGCTAGGGAACGGCAAGCAGAATTTTAACCCAGGTCTCCTGCCCAGTTCAGTGTCATTTTCATCAAACCCTTTAGGCACCCACTGGCCAGTTTTCAGAGAGAGGGAAACGGTGGGAACTCAGAAGCCTGCTCAGAGCACTGGCAGCAGCACCCCAGCGGCAGTTATGGAAGGCCTGTGTTCACAACCCTGCTGGGTGTTTTAACAACAGTCAAAGTGTATAGAAGCTCCCTGCCCTCTAGAAGCTTGTCACTGAGTATGGACAAAGGCCAAATGCTTGAGAATCATAAGAAAATACCCAGAAAACATCAGGAAGTTGAGGTTACCAAGAAGTGTGGGATACATTTAGAGATGGGAGGAGCCTTAGCAGACATGCTACCTGGTGATTTTCAGTGTATTTTTTAAGCAACAGAATCTTTGGTTTGAATGAGTCCAATGCCAAAATGCAGAGTCTAGAACAGGTAAAAGCGGGTATGTTCAAATGAACTGGGGTGGGACGGTCCCATCTCCCTTGCCCTCTCCACCCCACGGATCCAGTTCGATGCCCCACTCATTCATAGAGAAGAACACTAAGGGTCACCCTCCCTTGCCTTTGCAGTCCCACCACCAACGTCCTGATTCCCTCACCTGTCTTGGCTGACAGCCTTCATGCCCTCTTCCTCCAATCCCTATCCACACCTCCCTCCCCTCCCCTGAGCCCAACCCACACATCATTGTGTGCAGGGGCCTTCCCACTCTGCACCTCCCACTGTCACACAAACCCTGTCCCGGCAGCCTTCTGGTCAACCTTCAAGGACCACCAGAAATGCCTCCTCCTCCAGGCAGCCTCCTGGGATCTTTCCAGTCAAAAGTGCCCCTGCCCTGCCCTCCAGGCTCCTGCTTCACACACCCCCAAACCCCCGTCAACTTCCTCACCCCCAGGGATATTTGTGAACATCTTGCTTTCCCGCGCTGGGCAGTTTAATTGACTTTGTTCCCTCCCCCAAACACAAACACACCTTGGGGAGCACTTTGCCCACAGTGGATGCCCAACAAAAGGCTCTTGAAGTGATTGCCCAGAATTACACCACAACCTTGGTGGCATCAACCAGAGAGGGGACCCATGGACAGGATGGAATACCTGGATCTGGGTGGGTGTTTGGAAAGACTTTGTACAGAAAGAGCACACACTCCCTTTGCAGATTTGTCATTATCTGTAGGAAAAACCATGACACAAATCTGTTTAAACTATGCAGGCACAGAGCCTTGGGACAGTTTGGGGAAGCCACAACCAAGGGGTGTGTATACAAATTGACAGGAGGTATTTGTCAGGAGGGAAGGAAGTGCAACTGAGGAAGAAACTTCAGAAGTTCAACTTCACTGAGGAGGAATCGTCACACTCTGTATTTTTCCTTAGACGGGGAATTTTCTTCTCGGAGGATGGGCTGTACAGAGTAAATCCTCAGGAGAATGGCCCCTAGAAAGTCCTGTGCCATCTCGGAGTCCCCAGCCTGTCACAGTTAAAAAGGGGCTGCACCCAATTATCACAAGAACCCTAGGGCCAGGTGGCTGAGGTTCTAGACCCATAAACACAAACGGGGCTGGAAGAGAGAAATAAACCCCTCACTGCTAAGCACCCCTGAGACATACCTGCCCCCTTCAGGGCAGAAGTCTGGGCCTTTCTGCCTGGCTCAGCTCTTCAAAATCCACCCAGCAATGTGAAAAATGCAGATCTGCTGGCATCCTCTGCAAGGAGTAGGCACATGGGTGGGAGGATTACACTATTGCATACTTTCCAAGGGCTCAGTCACTGGCTTTGTGGTCAGGAAATCAGCCCAGGAACGAAGAAAAGATGCCCCAGGGGTGGTCTCAGGCCAGGGTCCGCCTTTCTCCGAGCCCTCCCCCGACACATCACTTCTCAGCCCAACACAGCCTGCTTTCAGGGAT